CAGGTAAGGGAGTAGGGTCATTAATTGTCTCCTGCTGTGCATGACTGTGACTCTCTGCAATGTGCAGGACGTTGTGGATGATTTGCACCTATGGAGACCCCAACTGTGGTGTGGTGATTGATGGCACGCATACTCCTATTTTGACACCTGCCCACCTTGCCATAGAATACCATAGAAAGGGCTATTTTTGTACAAATGTGCAAAGCATTGGTGGATTACTGGGGATGCTTCACTGCTATCAGTATGGGCTGGTCAGAGAAGGTGAATGACGTGTGCAACTTTAACAGCAGAGGACTTTTCAGACATCTGCAAGCAGGGACATTCTTTCCTGAGTGGTGGATTACCTTTGGCAATATTGAAATGCCAGGAGTGATTCTGGGACCCAGCCTATCCCTTGCTCTCCTGGGCTCATGAAGCCATGCACTGGCCACCTCAACAACACAAGGAAAGATTCAACTAACGGCTCAGCAGGCACAGAATGATTCTTGAATGTGCTTTTTGTAGACTGAAGAGATGCTGATGTTGTGCACTGGCTAGACTGGTTATAGCTGCCTGTTGTGCCCTGCATAATATCTGTGAGGCAAAGCCCCAGGTACAGTAAGTATGGCCTACCAGGGGCTGGGGGAGGGGGAAGGATTTCTGTTGCATCAAACAATACTATTTCAGTCCGGATTCCACAGGTATGAGCAAAGGGCACTGAATATTGGCACTGTTTTCCACAGGCAGTGGTGCTTTTAGCTGATGAGGGTAACAAAAGCACAGAGCACACAGCTGCTGTTTGGTATGCCAAAGCCGCCCAGGCTCATATGTCACTAACTTGTTTACTGCAATGGTGCCACCTGAACTCATCGCAAAGTGGCATGGAAAAGCGTCCTACCGTGGAGGAAGAAATAAGGCAGCCTTCCTTATTAGAAACCATACAAACCTTTGGGAGAGGATTGCAGAGTATCTCTATGAAAGTTTAATCGAGATTCTCAGGAGGGTGAAAGGGACATCCCCATGTACATAAACAAACTGCTCCACATGCCCCTCCTTCACACCCAGCTTAACCCTACAGGAGAATGAAAAGCACATGCCAACTCTACTTCTCTTTGTTGTACCTCTACCTCTTCTAATATGAGTAAAACAATTAAAAGTCAGTACCTCTGCCTTGTTAAGGGGGCATGGGCTGGGCGCCACCCTTAAATTTAACCATTGTAAGGAAAGACACATGCACACACTTACCTGAGGTCCCTTCCCCTTCATCAGGCTCATCCATGCTCACCTGGAGGGACTGGCTAGCCTGGGGCAGGCTCAAACAGGTCCTGGCTCGTGATATGGCTGCAGTCTCCTGCCGTGTCTCTCCCCCTCTTCCTCCGCCTCACTGTTCACAGCAGGGGTCTCTGTCTGGGACTCCTCAGAGGCATCCATGGTACTGTGCTGGGTACTGGGGGTGTCTCCACAAGTAGGACATGCAGTGTGTTGTAATAGCGGCTGGTCTCTGGCTCAGCACTAGATCGATCGGTTTCCTTGGCCTGGTGTTATGCCTAGCCAAGTTCCTTTGCTTTCACACAGCGCTGCTGCTGATCCCGGTCATACCCCTTCCTTTGCCTGCCTCCCCCACGCACTCTGCTCATATCTGTCCACGTTACTATGGCTGGTCCATAGCTGTGCCTGCACAGCCTCTTCTCACCACAGGCCCAGGAGATCCAATACCTCCTATCTACTCCTGGCAGGACTGCGTGGAGCCAGCCTGTTGGTTGGACGGTTGCACAGAGAAAGGAAGGGCTGCTAGGTGTGCTTGCCACTCTGGGCAACCAGGAAAAGGCATTTTAAAAACAAGCAGGAGGCTTGAAAGGAGGTGAGGGGGTAGCTTCCAGTCTCCATGACAGCAGCGTTTACAACTGAGACCAGAGCGGTCAATGTCACAGGGAACGTGGCATTCTGGGACAGCTGCTGGAGGACTGTAAGGGTTGACACAGGTCACACAGCACCTACATTAGCACTCCACTAACCTCAGTAGATTGACCATGGCGCCACGCTGTTTGAGGTGGTGGTTTTATTGCATTGCCATAACAGGGTGTGTACGTCATCCAAAGAAATTTGAGCATAGATACATGCACAGATAGGTTGACACAAAGCGGCTTACGTCAACCTAAATCTGTAGTGTAGATCAGCCTAAATAATAATAAAGCACTTATTTAGGATCTAACAGAGATTGTATCTTCCTTTCTGTCCCTGATACAATCTTCAGCACTTTGCTGCTGATCAGAGTTCCTCCTGTATAAACTACGGGCCAAATTCACGCCTGTGTGTGTCGCCATTGATATAGATGGAGCAATACCAGGAATGAATTTGGCCTAGTCAGTTACAATTCAAACTAAGAGTTCAAGAGGTGAATGACAGCAGCAGCTTTAACATTTATTTTTGGTCCCCATGTCTTACAGAGAAGTTACAGTCAGTCACATTACCCAGGCCTTGCAGTTAAAAGAGGAAAAATCTCATTAAATATTCAAATTAAATATGCGTTAAAAAATAAAATGCTAATCGTAAATTGGCTCGGGTTTTATTTTTTTGGAAGCAGAGACACAGCACTGCATTCTTAAGCAAAGAGGATACAACGGCCTCTCAAGACTGTCAGTGCCCAGAGGAAAAAGGGCTGGCAGTGTTCTCTAAATGTGTTTACTTCCCCACAGGCATTGTTTCCTTGCTCGTGTCACATCGTTTATTGAGCACAGCTAATCAATGTTTCCGCTGACAAGAAAACTGGAACAGTTTATTTAGGAAGCCAGTGTTCAAGGGCAAATTTCCCAGTCCACACAAAAGAGACCTGGGCTCCTTCCATGCAAGCGACCCTAGTGAGAAACAGGTCCGCTTTCCCTTAAAGGCACCGGGATGCTCTCCCACCGTGCCTCTTCCCAGTACACATCTAGTTTCCCACCAGACCCTTCCCTAACACAGAACAGATTCCCTCTGCAGATGCCTACTTCCCACAGCAGACCTACCTCATGACTTACCAACCACTCCCCTGCTCCCTTGCCCGTAAGCCCTATTGTCCTGACCAGAATTCCCCCATGATTCATCCATTAACCATTGGAACAACTTACCAAGGATCAGGATGGACTCTCCATCAGTGGCAATTTTTAAATCAAGATTGATGTTTTGCTAAAATATATGCTTCTGCTTCCAACAGGAATTAATTCAGGGAAGTCCTGTGGCCTGCGGAGTACAGGTGGTCAGACTGGTTAATCATAATGGTCCCTTCTGCCCTTCTAACATATGAATCCTTACGAATCTTCTGGATGCCCCTTTCAATGACTATTTCCTCATTTTGTCTTCTGAGGTTGGCTGGCCCCTCCTCCAATCTAGCTTTTTAGATGGTTCCATTATTTCTCCCACCCCAAATCCAGAGCAAGAAACCAAATTCTTCAGGGAAAGTGTTGGGGTTCATGTCTTTTATAGGCAAAGCATAAGGAGAATCCCATCCCAATAGGTGCCATTTCCCTATATTGAGGAACCCCCTACAGCAGCTAGGCAGATGTTCCACAGTCCAGGGAAACCTTGTCCATTACAGCTGGGGTTTCTTGCACTGATAAAATCACCAAGCCTGAAATAAGTAATCAAACAACAAATATGGCCACCTCTCACAGCCTATTTAATTACAACTCTCTGCTATTAATAAAATGAAGCTGCATATAAACCAGGGATATTTCCCACGGCCAACCTTTTTCCTTGTCGACAGTGAGATAATTCCTCTTTGTCCAAAGCACCTAAAACTAGAATAAGCCCTAGAAAACAGCATAAGGGAGCGTGCTGCCTTGGCAGAAGTTGGACTAGATATCCTCATGGGAATTTTGTATGATGTGTGTCTCAGCAGAAGTATAAGTTTGGCTCTCAAGTCCTCTGAAGGGACAGTGTTGGTTATATCAAGGTTTATAACACATTTTTCATAAGTTGCACATAAAATCAAAGAATATCAGGGTTGGAAGGGACCTCAGGAAGTCATCTAGTCCAACCCCCTGCTCAAAGCAGGACCAACCCCCAACTAAATCATCCCAGCCAGGGCTTTGTCAAGCCTGACCTTAAAAACCTCTAAGGAAGGAGATTCCACCACCTCCCTAGGGAACCCATTCCAGTGCTTCACCAGCCTCCTAGTGAAAAAGTTGTTCCTAATATCCAACCTAAACCTCCCCCACTGCAACTTGAGACCATTGCTCCTTGTTCTGTCATCTGGTACCACTGAGAACAGTCTAGATCCATTCTCTTTGGAACCCCCTTTCAGGTAGTTGAAAGCAGCTATCAAATCCCCCCTCATTCTTCTCTTCTGCAGCCTAAACAATCCCAGTTCCCTCAGCCTTTCCTCATAAGTCATGTGTTCCAGCCCCCTAATCATTTTTGTTGCTCTCCGCTGGACTCTTTCCAACTTTTCCACATCCTTCTTGTAGTGTGGGGCCCAAAACTGGACACAGTACTCCAGATGAGGCCTCACCAATGTCGAATAGAGGGGAACGATCACGTCCCTCGATCTGCTGGCAATACCCCTACTTATACAGCCCAAAATGCCGTTAGCCTTCTTGGCAACAAGGGCACACTGTCGACTCATATCCAGCTTCTCGTCCACTGTAACCCCTAGGTCCTTTTCTTGAGAGAGAGAGAGATGATATACATTACACAAGTGGTCCACAGAGACGGCTGGTCATGTGTTATTAGTTCTTCTCCTCGTTTCCAGTGGCTAAATCACTTTAAAAGTAGCTAAAAGATATTAAATATTTTCCTAAGGTCACTTTTTCCGGTAAGCCATTGCTTTTTGCCAAAGAGATGTTTGGTTATCAGGGGGAAGGGAGATGGTCCACACAATCATTAATGCTAGAGAAGTTGTCCATGGACTATTTGGGAACCACTAGGGTAGATATGTTGCATTGCAATATACTCTCTGAATTGGACCAAAGTCTGATTTTTCACATCGCCCTTTGAGACAATCTAATGCTTTTCAAGCCTGTGTTGCTTCTTTCTACGTACAGGAGACGTCCAAGTTAGGCCTTGGTGAAAACATAGATCTACACATCATGCAACTGCCAGTGGCTTACCAAAAAGCAAAGGAGCTCGTCTGTAAGATATGGGGGACTCTTCAACCACTAGTGAGTGATTATATAGTTGAATTTTTTTCGCTTAAATTAAAACTGAACCAAATAATACAGTGTCTGTTCAGAAGGTGGATATAGCTTGTCCACTAGATATAGTCAGAAAAAAACAGGATAGAAAAGGAGGGTGGAACTCCTGAGCGTGTGCCGAGAGGTAGGGTAGATGGACCAAAGAAACCTATTTGAGCTTTAAAAACCTCTCCCTCTTTTCAGCACACGAAATAAAGGGTAATATCTTTCAACCACCTGAAGCGATAGTGAGCAATGGGATATAATTGTGTCCCTCTGAGACAGGCAAAATGGACAATCAGGTCTTTGAAGGACACTGCTGTGGAGTGTTTTCATAGTACAGCCACCAAGAATATTAGTGCCAATGATTCTCTATATTTTTCACTCTGTGAGCCACTTCATCAGAGACAGAGCCCTTACATGATCTCACTTTCTCCTCCCAACTTCTTACTGAGTGAAATAATATGAGAACCATTCTGTGGACCATCACCAAAGACTTCATGAGCCACTGGTGAGCTACACCACTGGAAATAGTTATGCTGGCAACCTGCATGAGGAGGGTCTTTCCCAAAAGAAGTCATTCAGTTGCTAGAATGGCTTCTGGCAGCTCTTACCAAGGATCTGATGGAGAGGGAAAGAGCATTTAGATCATGACCCAAAAGCGAACCTTAGCCAGACCACAGATGGACTCAATGCCTGTTTGTTCGGAGTGTGAGCTGTAGCAGAGGTACCTGAATGTGTGAACAAAGCCAGTGTAGCTCTGGGCAAAGAGCAAAAAGGGTGAAGTGCTGGATTCTGTGACAGTAGCTAACTTAAGCTCAGAAAAACAAACATGGAAAAATACATGGGGAGATGGGCATGCACATCTGAGAATGCATGGGTGTTGGAGGAATATTTCTCTCCTGTATCTAGTTTAGATGGGGTGGTGGTGCATTGATACAGAATCCTTTGGTTCCTTCACAGCAATCAAATGACAGCTGAAGAGAGCCCTTTACGTGCTAATCAAACATCTCCTACACCTACAGTACCTAGTCATCTATCTAGGTTCTTAGATGATGCTCATCATCAGGGTATTAGAGTGTGTAGCCTTATAGGACAGGATGACTGCTAACCATTACTCATTACATATCAGTGTAAGAAATCTACCACATGAATGTTTGAGAAGTTTAAAGAAACAGCTATTGTTCAAGAGGTGAATGTACACACCTTAGATACGTTTTGGGCAACTGTTTAATTTGGTTTTTACTGGATCCCCATAAAAAAAAAATCTTCCTCTTATGAAAGGAAACTAGATCAACACAGAATGTCAGGCTTTTTAACAATGTTTTTGTGGAATAAATTTGAATCAGTTGTATACATATCACCGCTAGGAAAAAATGTTTACACAAAAAAAAATTAGAAAAGAAAATAGTTCATTATTGAATCTTGGGGTATTACATGGACTGGTAAAGTTGTAATTTTTTTTTTAATAGTTATGAAATGTGTATTTTACCCCCACTAAAGCATGTTCCTCACAGTCGGCAAATTTTTAAATCAGGAGCACCTAATGAGAATTAGGAACATAAATAACTTCTGTCTAATAGTGATGCATTTATCTGGTGTCAAGTGATTAAATGACACTTTGATATAGCGATGAGCATGGTATAAAATATATATGGTGCTTAACTATGCATAAAATAGTCCTGGCCTACAACCCATTGATAAATACAGATTTGGGGCCAAATCTTGCAATCCTTGTGCATCCAAAACTTCTATTTAATGACGTTTTGGGTGTGCAAGAAACTCAGGATTTCAGCTCTAAAGGAAGAAATACAGCTGAAGTACAGAAAGTCTTTCTTATTCCAGCATTTTCATCCAATAGAGTATTTGTCATTTTAAAATGAGGCTTTTTAAAAAAAATCCTCCTTTGCTTAATTGGGAAAACTACTTATTTGGAATAAAAAGCTGCTGACTTTGATAGCTTGATTAAGAGGCTTCTCTGTCCTGAGGGCAATATAATCTGGAGTGGGTCTTTAAAAACTCCCCAAAGTGTCTGTGTATGTCAGACAAGATTGTGGAGGTGCAGTTTAAAGTGTCAGCTAAAGATTTATGATGAAAATTGGTGCAACTTGATGCATATACTATTAGCTTTTAACAATGGCGCTGTATGCAGAACAGTGGAAAGAACCGCTGTGAGTTACAAGAAGGTGCTGCATATATCCTTGTGCTGGTTTCCTAATCTGACTAGATAAAACAAACAACGAAACTCCAATTTTGTTCTACATTACAAAGGGTCATCTACGTTTTCTTTAAAGAGGAGCAATAAGACAGACACTCCACCTTGGAGCTGCTATTTCATAAACTGCTTGGTGCTATTGCATTGGATGTTTTTAAAAACAAGTCTGTCATTTTCATTTCCTGTTATTCACTCTGGTGGGGGCAAAAAAACAGCTCACTGTTCACATTGGACTCGCTTCATCCTCCAAAGCAATCATCATCCTTGAACAGTGTGGGAAGAACAAAGGCTACAAAGAGATGGATGTTTGTGGTTTTTGCCCAGAAGATGGCTGTTGTCTGTTAGATGGCCCAGAAAAGATTGAGTCTACAATTAATATGAAAACTCTCTGGAAAAACATTTCGGTGGAAGGGATTGATATCGTCTTTTCCAGAGATGCAGGAAGGTAAACACATTATTAGTGAGAGAGGATATTAAAGCAGCTCATTTCACCTTCAAGAATCATTACAAGTACTTGCTCCCTCACCAATACACATATCTACTTAAAGTTAACAGTCACAGGTGTGAAAAGGACACAAGGGACTGAAAATTTAGACTGATGATTTGCACAAAAAGTAAGGCCAATAGAAATGTTTCCTTGAATTTGTAAATTCCAGTAGAAACGATTTTTAAAACAAAATATGACAGTGACGCAATTTTTTCAGCACTGTGCAAGATAATGAGAAACTGATTCTGACTAGCCACTGACTTTAATCCACTTTCATTGTCCAAACGGAGCGAGGCGGACAAAAGGTGAATGAGCAGCCTTCAGAATAAACAAATTCATTTTAAAAAATTTTCTTAAAAAAAAAACGTGTCTATGGCAACTAACAATTTTTTTAATGTGATTCTTTAACCAATCTTTAAAACAACAAACAAAAACCAGGATTCTTGAAGGTCAAAATTAGTTTTTATTTTCGGAGTGTTTGGGTCTCGGAGTGATGTGATATGAGAAAAGGGAAGAATTTATCCAGAAAGTATCTTACACACACAACATTTTTTGAAATTGTGCTACTTTTATGTAGGGGGCTGGGAAGTGGGGCTGTAGGTAGGTGTGTGTGTGTGTACGTACATACGTACAGTTGGGTAATTTTCCAGTCTAATTTAGTTTGTGATCTCACAAAACAATGCACGTATAATGATTTTTATTTTGCAGACGCTATTAAGTGGGTGTCCATCAAATCAAGCCAGCACTCAAGGAATGTTTGTTTCTAAAAGTGTTTTGGGTTTTTTTTTTTAATTTCCATTTTTCCTAATACAAAGCACATAAACCAAATCTGGCTTAACTGCTTAAACTGTGTTTAATTAAATCAAAGTTTAGCTTTCCTTAATTCTTTTTTTTTTTTTTTAATGTTGTAGGTACATCTGTGATTATACCTATTATACCTCTCTGTATTATGGTAATGGAAAAGCAGCTTTTATACATGTGCCGCCATTATCCAAATTGGTAACAGCAGACTTTCTAGGAAAAGCACTACAAATAATTATCTTAGAGATGTTAAAGCAGTGTGGGGAAAAGAATGAATAAAAAGGATGGTTTACAGAAGACATGCAAGTTTCTCAGAATACAGTAAAATTATTTTAACCTTCCTCTGAGGCAACCCTTAAGATTTAAAAACAAAAACAAACGAACAAAAATTACATAGCATGGGAGGGCAGAATTAAAATAAGTTCCAAAATCCTACAATAACTTTAGCAAATTTTTCATTACATAAAAAACAAGTAAAACAAATTACAAACAAAGGAAGAAATGTAAACAATCTTTTAGGGGAACGCCAGTGACTGGTGATTTATCTTGCTAATGGTAACAAATTTGCTTCTGATTTAGGATACAAGGAAAATTCTCAAGAAAATGGTATTTAAAAGGCTACCCTGCCCAAACCCCAAAGACTTGTGAAATGAAATGTCAAGATACGAATTGCTTTAAAATGCACTTTGAAAGTTTGTTCCTGCTGTCCGATATGCAGGTAGACTTCATACAGCTTACATAATAAATTGCAGTGATGTGCATGATTATGACCATACAAAATTACAACTTGATATACACACAAGGGAGAATTTTATCCCCCAAGCCCAGCAGAATAGATCAGCCATACGAAAGCTCTCATTTGTGGAAAATCACATGCAATGCTCCCATCTTATGGGCCTTTAAAATCGCCCCACACCCACAGCAGTTTCCCTGTATGTGCCAAACTACTGCCCCCACTCAAAAACCCACAAAGCTTTTCAGTGGTGACCCTTGCATTTGCTTTCAGGATGCATTAGCAGGAACCACCTTTGAAAGGCTTAGTCAGTGTGTTTTTAGGGAGAAGGAGATGGTATCACTTCCTGCTGGTATTGTGCGCCTGCGGATCCAAAGCAGACTGTAAACGTCTTTTGATGAATTCGGGATTACAACCGAAAATGGATGTTTCCAATTTGGCGGCAACAACAACAATTCAGTTATTAAGCTGGATTTTAATCACAAGAAAAGAACACTTACCTCATGCTCTAGGTGTCCATGCTGTCAAGGAAAAAGGCAACACTTAGGCCTGGTCCACACTAACCCCCCACTTCGAACTAAGGTACGCAAATTCAGCTACCTTAATAACGTAGCTGAATTCCAAGTACCTTAGTTCGAACTTACCGCAGGTCCAGACGCGGCGGGCAGGCTCCCCCGTTGATGCCGCGTACTCCTCTTGCCAAGCTGGAGTACTGGCGTCGACGGCGAGCACTTCCGGGATCGATCCCAGATGATCGATTGCTTACCGCCGGACCCGGAGGTAAGTGTAGACCTACCCTTTTACACAGTACAGCACAGGGAAGAGACTCCCAGGTCAGATGGTCCCAGGTCATTCAGAGCTTTATAGATCAAAACCCAACAGCTTACGTTCCCACAGGAAGGGCAACTCATGGAGCACCAGGGCTGCATGCTTTGTCAGGGCAGACTATCCCATTGAAAAAGTAGGCTGGCTGCATTCTACTCTAGTTTCAGCTTCTGAATGGATTTAAAGGTGTCATTTCTCAAGACGAGTATTGCTGGAATCCAATCTCACACCAATAAAGGCACAGATCACGGTAGGACCGTCTGCATGTAAGAGGAAAGAATGACCTTTTAGCCACACTGATGGAAAGCAGAGTCTTGGTCACTGCTGCCGTTAGATCATCAAAAGCGGCTGGGAATCGAACCAGAATCCTTGGTAACGAACAGTGACATGTTTTCAGCCAAATCCTTTCACTGCTCTCATCCACAGACAAACACGTTAAAATACACTTCCATACTCCATTCTCTGGACTGGATGGGACACAGGCATGAAGTAGGATGTCACTGTTGCACTCAAAGCACCTCAGCCCATATTCTCCTTGGTAACCTCAGTAATGGCTTCACATACACGCTGAATAATAAGAGGGAAGACCGAATAGCCATTGGGACGGGAGAGGAATCACCCAACTGGACCCTCTGGGATTTCTTCAAAGGAAAGATATGGGAACAACCTAAAAGCAGGCCCAGCCCTCACATCCGGTACCATATCAACACCATCTCAGTGACAAAGACAGCAGATAGATATATCAGCACAGAGGCCTGATCTTTATCCAACTCTAAGCTATGGTCATCATGCCGTAAGTGCAGTCTGTGTGTCGTAAACCCTGAATGACAAGGGTCAAATGAGTCAAATGAAGATACCAACAGCTGTCTTGCCATAACCTTTTCCATAGTCTTAGTAGAAAATGCACTTAGGTACTGGTTGATTAAAATTAGACTGCCAGTGTCTAGAGATGGCTTTGAGCAGTGGCTGGACATACGCTTCCTTCAAAGAAATCAGCACCTTGCCTTCTTCAAAGAAGTCTACAACCTCCACAAGTAAAGGACTCAAAGTCTCCTGGGGCTTCAACAATCAAGCTCAGTGACACTGTCTGGAACTCAAACAGGGAAGGCCTAGCATTTATACACTAAACGGATGGGATACCTTAAAACTGACCTGTCCCGCAATACGGGAGTATTTTAGTTAGCCTGCCCCCTACACAGTTTTTATGTTTAAAAAAAAAAAAGCTATCCACTACAGGAGAGGTCGAATTTTTAGTTTTCTGGGACGATACTTTCTTTGCTTAAGTTCGGGCTAGCAAATAACAAAAATCAGAAGACAGCCAAATGCATACAGAATTCTTTTATTTAACTTAAATCATGTAGTACTGTAACTACTAGAAAAAAGCAGAGTAAGAGAAAACTAAAGGAGCCATTCAAAATAGACAAAGTTTCTTTTTTTTCCATAATGTAAAGAATCCAGAGTATATCGCAATAACAGGAATAAATTCTTACAACAGAATATACAAAAACATTTTGAAATTTTTTTTTTAATCTACTGATTCATTTTAATATAAACACAGGAATTTCTTTAGGAATAATTTATACACAGCAAGTCTTTTTTAATGTAATAAATTGGCCATGTTATTACTGTTTTAATTTTTTTTTAAAAAAAGCTTTTTTAAACAAGAGAACTTGGTAAATGTTGTATTTGCAAATGCATCAGTTCCATAGCGCTTTCTAGTTTTGCTTTTGTCCCAGAGGTAGACAAACTCTGGCCAATCCTTTCAACTCAAACCTCACTGGTTTAGAAAACAGAAAGATAATTCTCAAAGGCATCTAAACCATCCATAACCTTCAAAAGGTAGGGGAGGAGAAATGTTCAGTCTAATTTGGAAAAAAAAAAAAAAGGATCTTCGGTATTCTTATTTAAATAAAAATAAATAGGGACCCTTCCTTGTTCATCTCAACAAAGCTCTAATGATGCTAGATATCCACATAAATTGTATAGGCTGCATACAAAACCAGCGTATTTGAAGTGATAAGAAATCTGTAAACATAGTTTTCTTTAATTCAATGATAACTATGAAAACTGCCTTTCATCATGCTGTCTATTACACAGTCACATCCTTCAACCCACCTGGCAACAATAAGAAAAAACGGTACTGAATAACACAACTAAGACTGCTTAGCAGCAATACCTATTCTGTTTCCATAACCAATGAGGTTCTTTCAATCCATTAACTGCACTATACAGTAAAGTGAAATGACCAGTTAAGATGATCCCACCCCAACCAGAGGGTTCTGGAAGACCAGGATACTGAAGATACAGAACATTTTCCCAACCTCTTTATTTACTCATTTACTGTACACCGGGACACAACGCTTGGGGGAAAAGGGATGAACCATGAGTTGGACAAGTTAATGATCCTTTTTGGCATATTGTAAAGCTAGCTAGTAAACTGGTACCATCAAAAAAAACTGATCATATACAAACACACACACGAAAGTGCCTTTAAATTATTTTATAGGCATTTATAAACTACAAACATTTTATAAAATTATTCTATGTATTATTATTCCATGTACTACAAAATGCAATGAAACATTTAATTAGTTCTTGTAAACCAGATCTCCGTCAACTGACTACCCGTAATCTACTGGACTTAAAAGCCCTATTGAAAATGCTAATGGATTAACTAATCAACATAATGCATACAAAAAAGGTGACCACGCGCACATGCACACGTACTATTGATAGTCATATGGTACTTGCAAACAGACTGACTGAGAGCTGATGCACAGCAATTCATATTGACCAATGACCTCTGTAAACCTCCTGGTAATGAATATTCCTCCACAGCTGGGAAATTAAGAGGTTTATTTACAAGTACCAAATGATTAGAATGATGATGCCTGAGCCTCGATGCCGTTCCACATACCAAGCTCTGGAACTATCGCAAACTTCTGCCAAGCCCCATGTCTTTGTGAATATGCTTTTCCATCCTTTGTTCTCATCTCTCCGCCCTACCATTCTCAATTCCAACTCACCGGGCTGAGTTTCTTAAAAGCACAAAAAGTAATCTAAACGCCTTTACTCAGAACAACCGGTCTTCTGGATCGAGGCACTCACTGAGCCCCTGACTACCCACAGTTCTGTATCTTCAGCACCTCTGGCAATTAATGTTTAATCTGCATCATCCTTTATTTGTAATTATTGTTTGCATCAACTACTTAGAGTGGAGCTGCAATATCCGGCTTTCACTGGTTAATAAGGAGTGGATCTCTTGCACTTTCCCCCATTGTTGCTTAGCCCAGTGATTAAATACATTGTTGACAAACAAAATAAAAAGAGTAACAGAAGAAAGTGTTACTTGTACTACTGGAATGAAAAGGGTTTTTAAAATATACATATATGTATACCAACAACAGGAGCGTCATTCATTTAGGCTTGGATTGTACTTAACAACCCTCAGCAGTTCCCAGAGGATCTAATAGCAGTTCCATCTGGTGACCAGTCATCCTGGGCAAACTGGGCTTTTTATTGACACCAACAGGAGCATCAGTGCAAACAAATCTAGAGTCATACATCACTTAGAACCAGCTTTAAAGAACAGAGGCATCACACCGAGAAAGAGGCTTGGTGGAACATATGCTGGCCTCAAGTTTTGCATCATACTTGGCTTCTGTGTCTAGTCTATTACCCCAACAAAAAGAATATCTGATTTAGTACCAAGCATGTGATGCTTCTGTATTTATACAATAGTCACCTTCCTTTGCAACCAAACCACCTTCTGTACCACTGAAAGATTTAACAATGAGAAAATCAGAGGAAAAGAATGGCCCAAATACTTAAATCAAAGTTTCTTGCTCCCTTAGTGATGCCAATTTGTTACTGATATCTTGGTACCATTTGTCAGAATGCTTGTTTTGTGGGTTGGGTGGGTTTTTGTTTTTTTTAAATCATGCTCAGAAATGGGATTACTACAGTTTTATTCAAACACAGCTGAAGTTCTAAATTCTCCATACCAGCAAGCCAGTGGTCTCTCAGGAAAAGGA